CAGTGAAGAATCCACCACCGTGCACCACCACCAGTGAAGAATCCACCGCCGTGCACCACCGCCGATGTGCACCATGCACCGCTTGTGGAGGATGCACCACCATGCAACACTGTTGTGGTTTATTTTATTTAGTGGATTAAATAAAATAAGACTAAATTTTGTAGCTTAATAATAGTTTTGGTTTTCCTGTGACTTATTTGCTGTATGATGAATGGTAGGAGATTAAATATATACGCTCCCAATGTTTTGCTGTTCTTTTTTTTTTTGTAAATAATAAATTACGTTTTTTGTGAATAGTGTCTTGAGTTTCTATGACGTCTCATCGACTAGTCGACGTTGACTCGACTTTTATCATGTTGAAGCAGACTTTAAAACTATGTTGTTGTTCAACGCCTAGTTCACGTACAGGTATGTAATATTGGATAATTTTCATCAATAAATAAATGACCAAGTATAATATTTGTCTCATTTGTTTAAATGGGTTCTCTTTATCTACTTTTAGGACTTACTCTTATTTAGTGAATACTGATGATGTTTTAGGTCATATTTATGCAGAAATATAGAAAATTCTGAAGGGTTCACAAACTTTCAAGCACCACTGTAAACAAGATTTTGATTTACACAAAATGGCAGCAAAAAATAAAAAAAATCCACACAAAAGTAAAAAGATAAAACCCACATGGTTCTCTAATGTTATCGTCTCTATATTTGTATTCCTGTTTTTCAGATCATTTGAAGTAACTGTAAACAAATGCATTATGACTCTTTTCAAATTACAAGCTTAAAATTATGCTTTAGTTGTCAGCTTTGATCTGCCATTGAAAAACACTGAGTTGATTATTTTTGTCTTTTGCTTTATTCATTATGTCACTGCAGGGAAAGATTGGAGAGCCAGGAGAAACAGGTTCTAAAGGTTTTCCTGTGAGTTTATTTTACTTATATTTATACACATAAAACCATAAATACTTTATTATTTTGTAAATATGCTTAATTTTACACATGTACTATATAATTTAAATGTTAGAAAATGTTTGAGTTATCTGTAAATAATACTGCGGTGTGTTTTAGATATTTTAGTTGTCAATGGTAGTATACAAAAAAAAACTTAAGTGGTGAATCAATATTGGATCATGCTGTGAATTTATTTGACTTTTGCTTTCTGTCTTCAGGGAATTCAAGGACCTTCTGGACCTCCAGGGGACAAGGGAATAGCTGGTGAACCGGTATTTCCAGCATTTCTGTTAATTTTCACTGATTTATACAAATATTGTCACATTCCTGATTATATCCTGGTATCTAGATATTCCTCGTTCCTTTTCCTG